AACCGTTCACACCCTTGGAATCGCATGCCAGGTTAACCGACGAAGAGAACATAACCTCCAATCTCACTCCCTTTCATTCGACCGCTGTTACCCCCTTCATCCTCCCTTCATCACCCAGTTCTTTCTAGCGGTTACAAATGATTTCCTCTTCCAAAATCCTGTCTCAAGTGAACCTATTAATGGCTGGTTCTTGGACGTTATAATCATTACCACCATGAATCCCCTTTCATCTAACTCTTGGTCTTCTTCCTCACTCTCTGGGCTTCTTATGACCGCAGCACCCATCACACCTTGAGACCCTAACTCTCATATCTTGGTCTAACCGTTCACACCCTTGGAATCGCATGCCAGGTTAACCGTGTAAAAGCCTGTTATGATTGGACCTTTTGGACGAGGAAATAGCCGCCGTTCGTGCCGTTCCTGTCATTCGTGCGTGCATCACTCACTTCGTTCACTCTTTACCACTCACTCCCCTCACTCTTTCTCTCATAACCAATCATGAAGGACGTGAAGAGAGCATATTAATCACGAAAGCTAGCTCTGTGGAGCTGGCGGGAGTTGTCGTTTACCCATGCACTGGTATTCACCTTGTTAAGAAGCTTCCAGGGAAAAAAAGGGTTCCACACCTTAACAGGTCCGAAACCCAAGACTTAAGGTGGGGGTTGGGGGGGGGGGGCCCCCCCCCCCCCCCCCCTACCACCCCCCCCCCCCCTCCTTTAAGGTGGTTGCGCGTGGGATAAGGTTGGGGGGGGCCCCCCCCCCCCTACCACCCCCCCCCCCCCCCCCACAAAGTCCACCACCCCCCCCCAAAGTCCTCCCCCGCCCCCCACAGTCACCATGCTCTGAAGGTCTGTGGTACTTTGCAGAGGTCGTACTGAACAGAGCGTCCCTGTACCTAAACTTCGTTTGCGACACGGGGTTCCAGCGGAGCGGGGGAAGCAAGGGGGCTGAAGGAGTTTAGGGCTTCAGATTTCGAGTTTAGGGGTCTTCGATCTTACCTGACTAACCGGTTGAGGCATGTGCCTGAAATACGGAAAAAGCTGCGCCGGCGGCTCCAAGTCCTGCCGACTCGCTGCATGCCACCCCCCTGTGGTGACTAGCTTTCGTAGCCCCTTCTCAAGTTGTATTATAAGGAGTGAACATGTGAGCGACGCATGAATGCAATTAAGATGTGAACGAAACCACCATTGACAAGTTACCGCATTAAAGGACTCATTCACCCTTACCATCACTCCTTAAAAGCCAGGAAACATGATGCCTTTCTAGGAGCTCTTCTCACCCTTGTAATCACCGTCCAGTCCACCTTGCATTCATTCATGCTGTTCTCTCCTTATAAGACTACCACCACGACCACCACGACCACCACGACCACCACGACCACCACGACCACCACGACCACCACGACCACCACGACCACCACGACCACCACTACCACCACTACCACCACTACCACCACTACCACCACTACCACCTCTACCACCACTACCACAACTACCACCACTACCACCACCACCATACTGCTGCTGCTGCTGCTGCTATTGGTGCTGCTGCTACCGGTGCTGCTACTGCTGCCACCACTAGTCCTGCTCCTACTGCTGCTGGTACGATGCCGATTTCGGCAGAGTAGGAGAAGTTGTGGCATAGGTCCCCTGCGCACGCCCTGAGCTCTTGAATGATTGCTTTGACATGCTGAGCAAGGTTTCGATGGGCCCATTACATGTACGTATACATATATATATATATATGTATGTATGCAATTGTTCGTGTATAGGAGCTCCAAGAAAGCCGGCTCGGAGAATGATAATGCATACGCGCGAGTTGGAACGTTGCCAGGTGTGCACAACATGAGCATGAATTCAAACCAGGGCACCTGGCACACAGGGACCTAGCAAACAAAGAAGGAGCATCCCAAAACCAGCCCCTGCTAAGTTGCAGCTTGGACCATGCAACTCTAGACCCTGTCAACTCCTAAACCCTTGAATCCGCTGACAGGTCGTAGTCTGTAATTATGATGTCTACCAGTCTACGCTTGGCTTCAGCTTTCCTCTCGAGACTTATGCAGCATCGGTTCTCCTTAGACATCAAACAAGCATGCGCGGAAATCTTGAAGGCAAACTACCATTCTCATCCACAGGCTCATACCTGAGGCTCTAGGCGACGCACTCCGCACCGTTGGGAGGGTCCCTAAACCCTAAACCCTAAACCCTAAGCCCTGAAGTGCCGAGTGGGCAAAGTCAAGCGCAGCGCCAGCGATGCAGAGCTTGGTATCCAAGCCGCAGAGCAAGGCCGATCTGGGAGGGCGTGTTTGGCCAGGTTATGCCCTTTAGCTTTTTTTTTGTAGTCTTTTTTTTTTCTCCTTATTTTTGTGTTCATTTGTTTGATGTTTTCCCGGTGTGGTTTTGTGAAGAATGGCCTGAGGGTCCAACCTAGTTGAGGGAACAATGAGTTGAGGGCTTGCTCTTATGACTGCTAGGATCAACCAGGTCCCTGACTCTCCAAGGTTTCAAGAACCGAAGCCTGGTAACACCCTAAGCCCCTCGGGCTTAATGGTTTAGGGTTTTAGGGCCTGTGTGTTCAGCCGAAGCTGTATGACATCCTAACACAAGCCTGGCGGCCCCTACCCAAGACACCCACTCCTGATGTGGCGCCAAAGCACAAACCATCAACAGATTCAGGCGGTTTCGGGCTAGCAGGGCTTGGAAGTTTGTGGGGCTACACCCGTAGGGTTTGTAGTGCTTATCGCATGTTCGGGCTTTGCAGGGCTTATCAGTTTTGGCAGGGTTAGGGCTTATAGGGTATATGGGGTTTAGGGCCTCCCACCGCCTCCCACCGGACCACAAGCCCGTGACCTTAAACCCTAACCCTGAAAGGGTTAGGGACCCAAGAAGGACATAAGCATAAGCATTTTATGGGGACATCCCTACCTTATTGGGCTTCATTCTAAGGGGGTTCATGTGGAATATCCCTATCCTAAGTTTTGCTTACGTGCTTTTTTGGGGCCCTAAAGGGGCAGGCCTTTGGCTTCTCTCTGTCTATCGGTTCCAGGATGGGACACCCGCATCAGAGACGCCTGGAAGCCTTTGCGCCCGGCTCTCGTGGTCTCGCCTGGGCTTGGGCAAAGATTCAAGCTCGGGACCTGAAGGAGGGACCCTTATAAGGGACCTTTGGGGTTATTTTGGGGCTACTTAGGTATACAATGTAGGGGTTCTAGTAGGGGAATAAGATTAAGGGTCCCTTCTAGGGGTCGCTCCTTCTACCCTTAAAGATCCGAAGCCTTGAAACTGACCTTTTTCTGAATAGGGAGCAAAGAGGCCCTAAACCCGAAAACCCTGAACCCTCAACCTTGCTATTCGGGTGCCAGAAACCCTGCTGGGTATAGCTTCGGAGCGTTGTAGTCAACGCACCCCTGGCTGCGAGAGTAGTTCAACGCATGAGAGAGTGCAGACTGTCGGAGACCTGCGGAGCGGTTGGACCAGAAACACGGGTGCCAAAAACCCTGCCGGGCGGGTGGCAAAACAAGCCTAAAGGCCTGTAGCCTTTTTTGCAGGTATATCTCTCCAGGACACCAAACCCGGCCCAGGTTCAAAGCGGCGCGCTGGGGTCTGGTTGACAAGGTGCTGCTGGCATCCAGGCGACGCAATTTTGTGCCGGGGTGAACACCAAAAAGTCAACAGTTGGGCGTTTAACAGGGTTTATATAGGGTTTTATAGGGTTCCATAAGGTTTTGGGGGTTTATAGGGTTTGCAGAGTTTATGGGGTTTATAGGGTTTAGAGGGTTAAGAGGGCTTACGGTTTTTAGGGCTGTGCCTCTTTTCAGTAGCTGGATCTCTTTAAGACCGCAAACAAAAAAACCAATCCAGGGGTAGGAAGGCGGGTGGACGGAATGCCTTTGAAACTGTGGGTCTACCATGCCGGGAAGTGGGAGTGCAGCTGCTCCATTAGCCTTGTTGCCTTGTTGCAGTCGAACCCGTAACATTCCCGTATAGGGGTATACTACCTCGATCTGCTCCGGGGCAACGCAACCGCGAGTGAGGGAGAACAAGTAGCCGGGCTGGTTCCTCACTCTGGTTGGCTCCAGTACCTAAAGCATGGTCGGTTGGTTTCCACGGCAAGCAGAACCCACGAAGCTACAGTGGTCTGACAATGAACCCATAGACAGACCTCTGAAGTAGTTCCTGCCCGAGTGCTGGGCGGGATCCCGAGCCCCAAGACCCTTCTTTTCGTCACTCGCTCGGGGACTCTCAGACAGGCAGCCTGGGCCGCCAGCAGCAGCCCCCATGTCGGGGGACAGGCGCCTGCCTGGCCACGGGGAGCGGTTTCGAGGTCTACGCCCTAGACCCGAGGGCAGCTCAAGATGCGGAAGTCTCTGGCTCACTTCTTCGCTTTAGCAACCCCCAAATAGTAGGACCCCCTGATAATAAGGACCCCAAGAAGGTGCCCTAACATCATAAACCCCCTGTATATTCATGCCGTCTAGCTCAGGATCCCTGCTGCCGCAGGAGGCGGGCTTCCCGCATGATGGATATGGGATTCAGTTCAGAAGAGGGTGTCAAGGGTGAGTGAGACTTCCGGACGAAATCCTCTTCCCGATTCCAGCTTTCCGTACCAGGACCCACCAGCTTCCTTTGGTCCGGGTGTGGGGACACTCAGTGGGGAGGGATTCATCTGAGAGAGCCCGACTGAACTCAGCATGACGGGGATTAATGTTCCGCCTCTTGTGAGTGTGTGCGCTTGTTCGGTGCCGTGATGTCTGAATCCCTACCTTTTGAAGCGGCCTTCTCATAGTCATAGCCTCGCTGTCTACAAGCGTTTTGCTATTCGCTGGTCGCCAGTGGCCGCCTGGTCGCTGTAGCAGAGTGCTGCCTGGAGACTCTGTTCGCATGAACACAGAGTTTTCCCCAACCAAAGTAACTTCACAGCCGCTCTGCGTGCCAAGCGGAATGCTCCGCACGCACAGCCTTGGGGCAGCGCACGTTCGCCCATCGAAGCCTCCCAAGGCCATGGACCACGATGCCTCGGCGGTGGACCACCCGGCTCTGTGGCGGCATTTAGCTGCACACTAGAGATTAGAGATGCAAAGGCTTGTCAGGCCGAGTGCCGTACTAGATGCGGGCTTGGAAGGTCAACCGATGCGCATGATGGCGCAGGAACGCCCTAGACTCCTTAGGAGTCATGTATCTCGTAGTATACCCTAGTAAGAGGGAGCGATTCCCCCCCCCTCATCCCTGAGCCCTAAGCTCTACGGCTTCAAGGTGGCTTGCGTCGAATATCGATACTGGGGAACTTAACTCGGCTTACTGCAACAGCCCGGGAGCAAAAAAAGGTGGCTTGCCTAGCATGCCAAGTAAGACCCTCATTCACTTTGAAAGGTGAGGATGTTGAAACAAAGCAGAGGGCATTCTGTTGATTTCTCTACTATTTGCTTAATAATGAGCAATTCAAGGACATTTCAGCACCAAATATCCTTATGAATGCATCAAATACCCATCAGGGTCATTGAAATGTGTCATGAAATACTGGTTTCAAGACCAATTTGCACATATATTACAACAACTTCACCTCTTTTCAGAGGTAAATTGAGCAACAAATATGCTCATGCCAACAACAAATACCCATCAGGGTGGATGCTATGTGCCATGAAGTACTGGTTTTGAAGCCAATTCAACAACAATTAAACACGATTTACACCTATTTTACAACAACTTATGTGAATGTTTCGACATGTTAAGACATGTTTCGACATTTAATGTGCTCCAATCCAGGACTTGAACCAATGCCAGTTAAATTTATCCTTCAAAGCTTTGAATTTATGTCTGCATATGTCTTGAAATGGGATTAAGGGCTTAACAATTAAGCCCACTTCGAGACAAGACAACAACAGTATTTGGGCTTAAAATAGTTGGCAAATTAAGCCCAACAATTCTTGTCACGCTATTGCAGAAAAAAGTTTTTTTTTTGTCGGTGCTAGTGCTAGTTTAGTTCAAATTCTAGAAAAAGTGAAATCGAACTACCACCATAAATGGGCCTTACAACAACAAGTATTTGGGTTGTGAAAGTGAAAGTGAAATTAACATTTCACTTTCACAACCCAAATCATCCAACACTAACACCAACATATGTTCGAGAATATGTTCGACATAAATGTTCGAACATGTTCGCAGATGTTCGAACGTAAATGTTCGGCAATGTTCGAACAGAAATGTTCGGACATCTTTCGATGGATATTTCGATGTTGTTTCGGATATAACGAGTTGATTCTCGGGTTGGAAATATTGGCCAAAATAGGCCACTTATTATGAAAAACTAGGTTGTCACGTGTTTTGGAAAAAAAGTTTTTTTTGTCGGTCGAGATAAATCTCGACCTCCAAAATAACCTTTTTCTCCAAAAATAATCAACCCAAATAAGCCAGCTACAACTCTAGCCAGCAACTGAAATTGGCCTAAACACATCAATGCACCACCTACAAGGTATTGGCTTGGAAATGGAAATGGAATTAACATTCCATTTCCAAGCCAACACCACAACAAGCCAACATCCCAACAACAATCGTTGTGAAATTGAACTTGAAAACAACACTTCAAGCCCAACACAAGCCAACACACACACAAGCCAACACATCAACACCTTGATGTGTGCAGAAATTGAACTTGATAAGACCAAATAGTTGGGAAATTGAACTCAAACACAACACAATTCAAGTCGAAATTGGCCTAAAACATAAGGTCTTGGCTTTGGAAATGGAATGGAATGAAGCATTCCATTCCAAAGCCAAGACCAAAGGCATTTATTTTTGTCACGCTCTCGCCGAAAAAAGTTTTTCTTGTCGGTCCTAAGCCTAATTCTAGTCAAATCTCAGAAAAAAGAAATTGGCCTCAAATGTGAAATTGAACTCGCTATTAGGGTTTTTGACCTATAGACCTAAATTTCCATAATAGAAATTCCGAAAACAAGAGAATTACAACTAGGGCATTTCTCCAGAACTACTTCCGGATTTTGCAAGAGATTTGGCTTGGAAGACGCCATCGTGAAAAATGCACAGCATTTTCCTCGCGCACCTGCACCTGTGCGCGCATCTTCCACAAGGATTTTTTGCCTACTGGCGAGAAAGCTCTGTTACAAGACGCATAATTATTAGGCCTTCGGCCTAATAATTATGCTATACTATGTCGCTGGATTGAGGCCTATTCGGCCTCAACCCAGCTCGAGGCTTGTCTAGTATTTTATTTTTTCTTTGAGTAGGTAAACTGGTGGCCTTCGGCCACCAGGGCTAGCTATCTCGTAAGTGGAATTGAAGGTGAGGGGTCCATGAATGGACCCCTCCCCTTCAAGTCCCAGGTTATTTTTACTTTGATTTATGCTGTAGCGGCAAGGGTGTGAGTAGGGATGGAAAAGGCTTCGCCTTTTCCAGACCTACGAACAAGACGCAAAACATGTGGATTGGGCTTCGCCCAATCCACCTGTTTTGCTATACCGTTAAGTGGGATGTTGTTGAAAGGCAGCTATTCGCTGCCTTCCAACAACAGACCTAGTTAGTTCTTTCTTTGATTTATACTGAAGCGAGAGGGACTGGTAGAGGAGCCTTCGGCTCCTCTACCAGGACCTCGTAGAGGTTTTTGACTACTAGCGATACCTCGAGTGGGATGGGATGAAGCTTCGCTTCATCCCAGACCACGACTAGGTAACTAAATGCCTTCTAGAAAAGGATCGAAGATCCTTTTCTAGTAGGCATTTAGTGTTTAAAATCCTAATAAATGGGAAGCTTCGCTTCCCATTTATAAGGATTTTAAACGTTTAAATCCCAATAAATGGGAAGCGAAGCTTCCCATTTATTTGGAATTTAAACATATAGTAGCACCTTACCCTTTTCCCCCGCACATACACACGTGTATGCGCGCAGGAAAAACCAAGCAAAAATGAGAAATTGGCGTCTCGGCTCTTTATTTAGTTCAAAAATGCCAAAGTAGATCTGGGAAAATGGCGACAAGAGAATTGGCTTAGAAAATGGAAACTTATTATGGAATTTTAGGTTATTAGGTCAAATCCATAATAACTAGGCCAATTTCTGAAGGGCAAGCCCTTCAGAAATAGGCCAAGTTATTAAGGATTCGACCTAAAAACCTAATCCCAAAGGCAATACCACCACAAGACCTTGTGCAGAGGCCAATTTCGAGATGGCAAGCCATCTTGAAAGGCCAATTTCCCATTAACAGAGGCCAATTTCTCAGATAAATAGACACGATTTGCACCTGAAATATGAAATAAGCCATTCATAACAACACTTCAAGACCAATTTGGTGATAATACACCACCAAATATGTCCAAAAGAAGCCAATATACCCATGTGGGCATGTGGGATGTACCCTTAACACCTGGTGATTGGGCTTTGGGATTAGGATTTGGATTGAAAATCCAAATCCCAAAGCCCAATTCCATGCCAATACCACCACCAAATGATGGTGGAATGAGGCCAATTTGAGAAGCATTTCGACCTTGAATCAAGGCCAATTTGAAACGTAATTTTAAGGCCAAAAAGGCCTTTTATTATGCTTTTTTAGGTTGTCACGCTTTCCGAGAAGAAAGTTTTTTTTGTCGGTCGTCCTTCGGACTCCGACAAAAATAACTTTTTCTCGGAGTAGCGTGACAACAATTAAAGGCCATCTTCTCAGCCCACCACCAGCATTAGGGCTTGGGATGGGATGGGATGTAAACATCCCATCCCAAGCCCAATCATGAAGCCCTTACACCACCACAAGTGGTGGTGATGTGCCCTATTTCGATGCTTGACAACATAAATGTGCATCAACATCAACCACCTCTACACTAACATTTAGTGGTGTGAAGATGTTATGTCCTGCTCGGAAGACAAAATAGAAGTCAGTGTGAAATGAATGCACACACTTTTCCAACACCTACACACCTCTACATGCTGGGATTGGGGATTTGGAGGAGGATAAATCCTCCAAATCCCAATCCTTAATAACTCCAAAAGAATGAAAAACAGTCATCCCTTAGTAAGGAAGAATATGGTTTTTTTGGGGCGGGGGGGGGGGGGGTTCTTAAGCAATTAGTAGCTCTAGGTCACTGGGTGGAACACACCAGAACACCGACACCGCCCAGACCAGAGCCTGCTATTCTCGAGAGCTGATTCCGAAGCTGACAAGTGAAGTCCTAAACCGCGGCAGCTCCAGACACCAAGACGGTAAACCCTAGTAGCCCTAAACCCTAGTAGCCCGAAACCCTAAACCCTAAACCCTAAACCCTAAACCCTAAACCCTAAACCCTAAACCCTAAACCCTAAACCCTAAACCCTAACCCTAAACCCTGAACCCTAAACCCTAAACCCTAAACCCGAAACCCTAAACCCTAAACCCTAAACTCTAAACCCGAAACGTTCGCCAGGAGACCACGCCCTACGAGGTTCCAGAGGAGGCTTGTGCCTCGAAGCTCCCTCTCGGCTCAGGGCTCAGCAGGGTTTAGGGTTTAGGGTTTAGGGTTTAGGGTTTAGGGTTTAGGGTTTAGGGTTTAGGGTTTAGGGCTTAGGGTTTAGGGTTTAGGGTTTAGGGTGGAAAGTTGCCCGGCATAAGACCAATGTTAAAGTAGAGAGAGAGAGAGAGAAAGAGAGAGATAGTTAGAGAGTTCGTTCGGGGCTCAGGGCTTGAGAATTGCCAGGGACCCTAGGGTTGCTAGGGTCACTAGGGTTGCGAGGGATCCAAGCCCAAGAAAATAGCAAGCACATGTAACCCAGACCGCATTGCTACATGTCTGTCAATTGCCATATGCCTCATATGTGCATGTCACCTGCGCTCTTCCCATTAACCTGCATGAACCGAGACAATGCGTGGAGATTGCTGGGAAATCACTCAAAACATCTCAGGACACACTGCGTGCCATTTGAGAATCCTAACCCTTTGTACAGGCTCAGCCACGCGGTTGCCAAAAATGTGTATGAGCCTGGATAACGCCCAACATCCCCTCATAATCCGAGATTAAAACACCCGAAACACATCAACATACCTACTCAGATAAACACTATCTTTAACGGAATCCTACTATTTGGGGGGGGCTATTATGGGGGTCCCATTTTTTCGTAAACCCCCCAAACCCTACACCCAAAAGCCTATATACAAAAACTCAAACTGCGCCACAAGGTGGCAGCAACGACCAGGATGGTGTAGAGCGCTCAGACTTCTGGAAAGCTTGGGGCTTAGGATGACGACCCTTAAGGGGTAAAAGGGGGGGACCCGTAGAAGGGACCCTTAACCTTATTCCCCTATATAACCCCTATATATACCTTATATAGTCCCTATATACCTAGGTACAAATAACCCTCAACAACCCCTAAGGTCCCTTATAGAAAACCCTCCTTTAATCAACTTCAGACCCTGTCTAGTTTCTCGGGATCGTCTTCATGTGGCTCCCTTTTTCACCCAGACCCGTGCCTCGTTGTTCAAGCACCACATCCTCCCAACATCACCATGCCCCAAATCAAGCATGCGCCCATGCACCTTTCTTCGAGGCCCGTAGACACTGCCCCGACATCATGATCGTGGCTTCGGTTTTTATAACGAGACACCCAAACCTCTTGCTTTCTTTTAACGCTGTAGGCCCCCATGATGTGCAGGCCCCTTCACCAAAGCAAGCCGCAACACAAACCACCCAGGCAGACCCCTTCACCGGCTTTTTTTCCAGTACCTTGGACGATCCGGAAGAGGCGACGCCGATGGCTGCCTAAAGTCTCTCGGGGTGTCAAAGGGGTCGGCTTTGCAATGGAAACAGCATTTAGACCCGGTTTGGGACGATTTCCCAATACAGCCCATCCAGTCTCCCCCTAGCGCCTGAACCTGCCCAAACATTGCACATCCCAAGCAGCCCTGTAAACACCGAACGCCACACCTCTACCCTGACAGGTCTCTCCCCTGGGCGTTCCGCGCTCCTTAGTCTTGGCGCTGCAGGATACAGCCCTTGGGCCGAACCTAGAGATGTAGGCTTGGGATTATATAAGGCCTTTAGAATTTGGCTTGGGATTTAGGGCTTTGCTTGCAGTAGTAGGGTCCTTAGGCTGCAGTGGCCAAGGGCTGCAAAGTGACTGCTTCAGGGTGACTGGGGGGTCTTGGGTTCCTTGTTCTGTGGAGGGGGCCGTGGTCTGTTTGTTGGGCTCTTAGGGTTCCCTTTCTGCAGCTTCTTCTGCCTGTTCTCGGGGGGCAGGCCTTGGCCTTGAGAACCACTAGCTGAGGGTTTAGAGCCCAGACATGACTAGTGTGGAGTTCCAGAAAAGGAGGAATATGGGGGTTTACAAGAATAAGGGACCCTTCATATAGACCCCCCAAATGGTAGGATTCCCGTATTCATGAGGACCCCCAAATTTGGTACCCCTCCCCAGAGACCAGCAAGTCTGAGTTGAAGCTGTTGGTCGGTTGCTTCGTCGATACCTGGGTGTTGATGTAAAGCTACATGTCCAAGGCGCGTGGGCGTCCGTGAAAGATGCGCGAATTTGAACGTCAACGTTTGGCGCCTTAGCCTTAATCTCGCCCTCAACCCTAAACTGAGCACTAGGGGGCTTTAGGGTTCAGAGTCTTCGCGCCAAAAGATACATCTCCGAGACAAAGCGATTTGGATCAACGGCCAAGTAATGTCTGTCCAAAGTAGCCACCCAAAGAAACCCGAAGCAAGTCATTCAGTGAGCACTTTGTAGCCTACAGAGCTGATACCCTACTTAGGACCTGAACCCAGCAACTTGCACAACATCCCGCCTTCTGACCATCGTGTGATTCTAAACCCACCACTTGAGGGTTTAGAGTGCATTTCGGGTTTTGTCCTCTGCAGGCAAGGCTTGCGGCGCTGCAATCGTCGCCGAGGCAGGTACACAGGAGGAGACGCAGCTTCACGCATGCAAAGAAGATGCGGTGTTCAAACATAGCTGTAGGTAATCGAAGGGTGCGATATGGCGAGACATTCTCGGAGCCTTAGGGTTTAGGGTTTAGGGTAAGCTTCAACTTACCATCCCCGGACAACTGCCCAAGCCCGGATGCAAAGGGGTTTAGGGCTTAGGGTTTAGCAATGCTTTGCCTGGAAATGTATTGTTCCATGCATGGCCAACCTTTCCAAGCGTGAGCTTGGCAGTGGCCCTGTAGGGTTTTTAGGTTTAGGGTTTAGGGTTTAGGGTTTAGGGTTCCTCTCCCACGATTAGGGGCTGATAGAGGGCACCCAAGACCAAGCCCCTTTGCATTCCTTCAGGGCTCAGAGCCGGACATGGAACAGGGCACCCTATCTGGGTTTTGGAGTACTATACTTTAGTGTTTTTTTTGGTTCTGGGTTCCTATTATAGCTACTTATACCAAAAAGTATTTACCTTTTTTCCAGGGTCTACTCCAAAGTAGGGCCATAGGGTTTTTGCCCACGAAAGGGCCTGCAACTAGCATGCCTTGCCATGCTCGCATCCAAAGTCGGAACGGCAACGCGTCCTCCGAGGACCCGATCCTAACCCAGAGAAACCCAGGCCTGCACCCTCATCTAACCCTTGAGAACTCTGCCCCTTAGGCTCAAAATAGTCCATAAACCTGTTATGATCAGGCCTTTCGGACCCAAAAACCCTTAAAATTAAGAGTCCTCGGAGCCTTATAGGGTTCCCACAGAGACGCTCCCTTGCGCCAGGTCCAGCAGCAGCGGCCCTTCTGATGGCGGAGAGCTACCTGAGGCACGTCAGTTGCATCAGATTGCCTTTTTGTCCTGAGGTCAAGCAAGGCCTCACGTCCCTAAACCCTGAAACCCAAAACCCTAACTCCTGAACCCTAAGCTCCCTCTCAAATCCCGACCCTTCGTGTTGGGGTGCGGAGGTTCCTACAGAATCCGCCCTTCGGCCCTCAAACGACCTCTGCGACCAGCCAAGGTGCCGAGCCCAAGCAACTCTGAGCCACGCACGAATTTTCTCGTTTTTGCATGAACAGGGTTTAGGGTTTAGGGTTTAGGGTGTAGGGTTTAGGGTTTAAGGTCCTAACCCACCCAAAACATATCCTGAGTCGGCGCAGTCTGGGCCGAGGCCTGTCCTGCTTCCTCCCCCCTACGCCGTGCCTTTCGACCCGGGCGATGTGCCGGATCCTCTTGGCCCGGCAGGAAGCCTCGAGCTCCCCCTAGGGTTGAGGTTTGGGTTTTAGGGTTTTGGGTTTAGGCTTTAGGCTGAAGGGTTTTGGGTTTAGGGTTTAGGGAAGATTCGGCTTGCAAATTTCGGTCGAGGTGGGCATGGTTAGAGGGCTGCGGGCTTAGGCATCTGAAGCGGCTTCTCGTTCAAAATTGGAACAAATCACCACGTTCAAGGCAAGATTCTTGTCATCCGCACTAATTTACTGGCATTCCGCGTCAGGGTTTTAGGATTTGGGGGGAGCCCAGTGGTGCTCGAAACGAGACGGAACTTCCAGCTGCGAACCCAAACTTCTCCTGAACCCTAAGCTTGGGATGTTCCCCCTTACACGACAGTCCTCAGTAGGGATTGTAATAGGGCACCCCCCCCCCCCCCGGCCACTGGAGCCTCTTCCTGTCAAAGTACGGCCTAGGGCCCAGGTTCCCTTAGGGTTTAGGGTTTAGGGTTTAGGGTTTAGGGTTTAGGGTTTAGGGTTTAGGGTTTAGGGTTTAGGGTTTAGGGTTTAGGGTTTAGGGTTCAGGGTTCAGGGTTCAGGGTTCAGAGTTTAGGGTTTAGGGTTTAGGTTTTGATTCCTGGGTTCCTCTCGGGTCTAGCTGTAGAACCTTTCGAGGAGGCCTCCTGAAACAGACCCAGGGGATCCATCTCAGGAGCTGAGGAAATCCCTGAACTCAACCCTGGAAGTGCAGGAGGGGTTTAGGGCTAGGGTTTAGGGGGTTTAGGGTTTAGGGCTAAAGGCTGCTCACCCTTCCGACGACAGGATCCCGTTTGAGTCCTGCCCAGTCGGCGACTAAGCGACCCAGGTGATTCTCCTTCTTTTGGATGCAGAAGTACGTCCATAATTCGCAGCACCTGGCATAAGAGATCTCAGATACTGCAGCTTTCGTCTGGGTTTGACTTCGGTGGATCGTGCAGGAGATTTCCCTTGCCTTTGAGGTCCAGGGTTTCGGTTTACAGACAGTTTAGGGTTTAAGGAAGCACCTACTGAAACAGTCCGGTGGCAAATGGGAACATGCTTGCAGAGCATGCGTAGAGAGAACGTCCAACCAAACGGCACGGGCAACCAGTATTTCTTCGGTTTCTTTCATCACGGCTAGTCTTCTGAAGGCCTGAATTCGCAGGACATTGAGTGGGCTTCTGCGACTGCTTGGATTATTGTCTCCAGCACTGGCGAGTGTTTAGGGTTTAGGGTTTAGGGTTTAGGGTTTAGGGTTTAGGGTTTAGGGTTTAGGGTTTAGGGTTTAGGGTTTAGGGTTTAGGGCTTCTACCGTATCGGTGAGCTCTGCGAAGGGGCAGCAGATTATGGTTGGGATGCAAGGCTCGGCCTGCCTCAGCAGCTTCCGGCGCCCTCGTCTGTGGCTCTACTCTGCATGCAGGGGCCACAGGGTTCAGGGTTTAAGGTGTAGGGTTTGGGGTTTGGGGTTTGGGGTTTAGGGTTTAGGGTTTAGGGTGAACCATGCAGGTATGCCGGGTGCCTTTCACACCTGAACCTCAACAACCCTAAACCTACCCCACCTCAGCTGCTTTATCTCCAAAAGCCGGGCAGCACGCGAGCAAACCTAGAGGTGAAATGGAACCTTTCTAGCGACCCCAACCGTGGCTGTGGCGCGGGCTACATGATGATGATTCTCCTTCAAGTCGAACCCACAACGCCTCTAAATATAGGCCCTACTGGCAGTCAAAACCCCCCCCCCCCCCCCCCCCTCCCTCCCTCCAGAAAGACTTGAGGTGCAAGGCTTGCCGACTAAGCCGGGAAAGCTGTGAGCCATCGACGCTGCAGGTCTCGGGGTGCTCGACGAGGGGGTCTAGAGTCTAGAACCTATTGAGCTTAGGTGTAGGGCTGTTGTTTCTAAGACATGTCTAACATACCCCTTGGGCCTACCCTTAAAAGAAATTAAGGGGTATGGTAAAATCCTTCCTGTTTCTCTCCTTTTAGAGGTTAAGGGGTATGGGTTTGGGGTATGTTGCATTATTCTTAGATTGTTTGATCTTTGTGGTGCGTGGACTGAGGTGGGTGAGTTAGGACTAGCTTGACCGAGGTTAGGCGATGGGCAAGGTTGCTCTTTTGGATGCTCGTGCGGGTCTATTGTGAAATGGCCATCGCCTACTTCTTACCAGGAGCTTTGAAGAGGCGGTAGTCCAACAAGCTTGATGCTCGCGCTCTTCCATTTGGGGGGGGAGGGGGGGAGGATTCTACACCTCAAGCCGCTGCACTCCATGCCCAACGCCACGACCCCCCCCCCCCCCCCTTTGTCCGAGTGTGAGCGATGCAAACCCGAACCTCCTAAAGGCGGCACAGGCCCAGACTGTGGAGATGCCAAGCAGAGGTGCCAGCCGGGAGTCAGGGTCTAGGGTTTAGGGTTTAGGGTTTGGGGTTTGGGGTTTGGGGTTTAGGGTTTAGGGTTTAGGTTTTAGGTTTAGGGTGGGCAGCATGTTTTTTTTTTGCACGCAGTGGGCGATCTTAAGGGGAAGTCTTGGGCTTGAGGTAGGAAGTTCTACATGGAGCCCTACAATAGACCCACAAATAGTAGGATAGTAGGATTCCCTTTGAATACGGACCCAATAAGGTACCCTAAATTCGGAAGCCACCACACGCTCGCACGGTTCCTGTTCCAGCAGAAACGCACAGACTTAAGACCTGGGAAGAGAGCCCCCCCGCCCCACGCCTCAAAATGCAATGCGAGTTGGACCCTCCCGGAAGTGCTCTTCAGGTGCTTCGTCTGCAGAGAGGTGGAGAATAAAGAGGCGGGGTGGGGGGGGGGTGCTTGGGATTGTAGGGGGGCTTACTGTTTAGGGTTACCTCTTGCTGGCGAAGCTATGGGGCTTGCAGGCTTCTTGAATTCAATTTAGGGTACAAGGTGGCCGGAAGGGCATTGGCAACCGGGACTGTGGATCTGAAGTCTTTTCATGGTTCAAGACCTTGGGCTTCGGGAGACGGGATATGGATAGTGTTTCAGCACGGTGTGGCGGCGCCTCATGGGGGGCAGGTGGATGATGAGCACAAGTCCCCCACCCTAACTTCGCCTAAAGTGGCTGTAGTTCTCAGAATCCCAGGTAAGGCATATCTTCAAGAATTTCTGAAGAACCCCGAAGCCTTCAAAGAAGCTCCGGACTCAACCTTTTTCCTCATCTCTTTCCAGCAATCCCGTGTCCTGCCGTGCCCATCACTGAATCTTCGCCCTGACTCGTTGTTTTGGGGTACCCATGTTATGATCAGTTAACTTGCAGTTCTCCAGAGGTCACCTAGAACCAACTTCAATTCTCTTGTGGGGAGGTGCCTGATGCTATGGCCCATACATAGTTTCATCATCTGCAGGTTTGGGCTGCTATCAGGTCTCCCGGACACCTGCAGATACTCCTTCATAAGCGTGTGGGTTCGACGGCACTCTACTGGGGGGGCATCTAGAGCACAAACCTGAAAAAGGGTAAACCCTAAACCCTAAACCCTAAACCCTAAACCCTAAACCCTAAACCCTAAACCCTAAACCCTAAACCCTAAACCCTAAACCCTAAACCCTAAACCCTAAACCCTAAAAAAAAAAAACTAAACCCAAAACCCAAAACCCCAAACCCCAAACCCCAAACCCCAAACCCTAAACCCTAAACCCTAAACCCTAAACCCCAAACCCCAAGCCCTAAACCCTAAACCCTAAACCCTAACTTGAGTGGGTTCAAAAGTTTCGCTCAACATCGAGGCTGGCCGGGCCGCGCGCACTCTTCAAGCCAGCCATGCTCCGAATACGCCGCGACTTCAAGGACACGGCGTCCTCAAGAACTGCCTTGACCCCTCAAACAGTGCCCCAAACCCTAAACCCTAAACCCTGAACACCCCAAGGATGCCGCACTTTGAAAAATCGAAGAGAATCCAGGAAAGCCGACACTGTGCACCAGAGATCCCCATGATATGTTGAGGGTTTAGGGTTAGGGTTTAGGGTTTGGGGTTTAAAGAAGTTCAATCATGTTCAATCCAACCTGGGCTTTGGAGAAGGAGCAGCTCTTCACGTCGCAGCTGCCACAACTGGCGCAGCCCGGAGCCTCAGAGGAGTGAGCAGCTTGAATTTCTTGTGGGGGCCTTCAGGGCACACCTCTGAGGGTTGAGGGTGACACTGCCACTGTCATCATCCACATGGCTCGCGTGAGTTTGCACATGAAGGGCAGCTTGAGTTTTTGTTTGCTTCGCTGAGCCAGACCGCACGTGCAGGCATTGCTGCTCGAGAGCATTTGGCACATGCAATGCAAGTGTCTGAGCGCAGGTTGCACCTAGACATATGTGTAATGGCTGGGAGTTGACAGGGTAGGAAGCCGTGACCTCAAACAGGGTTGAAGGCGTGCAAGGTGTGTGTCTGTGTGTGTCACCACAGGGACCCCCTCAAATCCCCTACAATGTCCATCTCAGTGGCCGTCGTGTTGCTGAGCGGCTCGCGTGTGTCCATCGAGTTGGACCCTGACTCGCGGCTTGAAGCGCTTCGGACAAAGGCAGAGGCAGCGTTAGGGACTCACCTTGGCAAGCTGATCACGGAAGCAGGAGCCTTGCTTAAGAACCAGGGAACGCTCAGGCAAGCAGGAATCCGAGATGGCGACACGATCACGGCTGTTGCTGGGCACGTGGCAGTGGCAGCATCGACATCCGCATTCGCCCTCATTCGGACAGATGGCTCGGTGGTGACTTGGGGAGACCCGCTCAGTGGAGGTAACAGCAAAGACGTGCAGAATCAGCTGCAGAATGTGCGTCATATTCAAGCAAACACCGGGGCCTTCGCCGCGCTTCGTGAAGATGGCTCTGTGGTGACATGGGGTGACGAAGATCGGGGAGGCTGCAGCCAGCGTGTCCAGCGCCAGCTCCAAGACGTGCGTCAGATCCAGGCTACTGGGCCGTGCTTTGGGGATTTCTCATTGCATTCTTTATAGGGGAACCCATTCAGAAGTAATTTTCAAAGGGTCCAAAGCACAACTCAGGCTAGCAGTGAAGCTTTTGCAGCCATCAAGGCGGATGGCTCGGTGGTAGCCTGGGGTCATGTTGACACCGGCGGCACCTGCAGAGAGGTTCCTTGGTAGCCCAGTGGTACCCTTTACCTTTTTTTTTTTGGTTATGGGTTCCCTTATAAAATAACTTCAACCCCAAAAAAGGGTGCCCTTATGATAGTATGGTTTCTGGGCTACCCAGGTTCAGGAGCAACTCAAAGATGTTGTTTCGATCGTCGCGTCGGATGGCGCGTTCGCTGCCCTCCGTGCCGACGGCGTAGTGGTAACATGGGGTAGCGTCAATCTCGGCGGTGACAGCAGTGCAGTTCGCAGCCACCTGAGCCATGTCCTGTGGCTTCATGGCGGCCCCGTGGGCTTCGCCGCCGTGAAAGCAGGCGGGCGCGTGGTCTACTGGGGATCGGACTTCGATCCAGATGAACGCATCCATGGAGTGTATGAGACGGGGTTCCAAGACATTCAGCAAATCGAGTGGTTTGCAAACTCTTGGGTTGCGGTTGGCTCAGATGGGCGCATGTCAATCTGGGGCAAGTATAACATCAGCCAATGTCAAGGAGTTGTGGGCGTCAAGTGCCTGATGGATGACCCCTTGCGACTTGAGGACTGCGATGATATTGGCAGTGCTGCGGTTGCTCTTCTCAGTGACGGCACCGCCGTGGCTTACGGGCACCCCAGCCAAAGCAGTGTTGGGGTGCAAGAACAACTCCGGCAGGTTGTGCAGATTCAGGCTACTGGCGACGCATTTGCAGCGATTCGGTCAGACGGATCCGTTGTGACATGGGGACTACAAGGAGTTGGCGGTTGCAGCCGGGCCGTTCAGATGCGGCTGCAGCGTGTCCGCGACATACAAGCATCCCTTTTTGCTTTCGCTGCGCTTCGTGATGATGGGCAGGTGGTGACTTGGGGCGATAAAGCCCTCGGAGGCGACAGCCGCAGTGTGCAGCGACAACTCAGGAATGTCAAATGCATTCAAGCCACGGAGGGCGCTTTTGCCGCCATCCGTGGTGATGGATCCGTGGTGACATGGGGCAGCTCGGTGGATGGTGGAAACAGCAGGAAAGTGCGAAGGCAGCTCGGCAGAACGCAAGAGGACGACCAGATGGAGGCTGAGGCCAAGGCTGAGGCCAAAGCTGAGGCTAAGGCAAAGGCGAAAGCCAGGGCCAAGGCCAAAGCCAAAGCAAAAGCCAAGGCCAAAGCCAAGGCCAAAGCCAAACCCAAGGCCAAGCCCAAGGCCAAGCCCAAAGCCAAGGTCAGGGCCAAGGCCAAGGCCAAGCCCAAGCCCACGCCCAAAGCCAGGCCAGGGCCAGTGCCCCTCAAGAGACCTGCGAAGCGGTAAGCCAGGTAAGTGCATTCGCGGAGCGCTTGAAAAGTTGCGAAGCTTCTGCACATTCGGCCCCCGAACTGTGTGGGCCCTCCAAGTGCTCGCAGCGCAAGGGAGCAGGGTTGACCGGGTTCGCAGTTGTGGGATGCACGTTTCCCCTGTAGGGGGCACATGACAGAGTCCAGTTTGAGAAGGCAAGGGATGTGTTGGGGATCAAAAGGGCAAGGGTTGGCAAGCAGTCTTTCAGGATTGAGCTTAGCGTGAGAAAATTTGACCAGGGATACAGAGTCGACGTCGAACCCGGGCACCCTCAGACGATCTCCAAGTCACGTCCAGGGCATACATTAGAGGCTTCACGCTGCAAGCGTGATGCGTCCCTGAAACATGCTTGGGACATCGGGTAATGCACATCTTGACATAGAGTTTGTTGCTTGAGGCTACAGGTGATGCCCCATGCAGACGACATCAGGGCCGGTGAGGAGGCCGCGCCATTTGTGTGGGTCGGGGTGGGCTGGGTTTGGGTCCGAAGAATGTCGGGTGTTTCGACGCAAGTTGGGTTTCCCACAGCAGGAGTGCCGCCCCGAAATATTGTGAAACCTCCTGGGACCAAGAAGTTGGGGAATTTTCCCGCTTTGCTTCTCCATGCACACCCTCCCTAATTCAGCTTTGCAAGCACTTTTTCACAGCTCAGAATAAGGGTGGTCCAGTCCTAAAACCCTAAACCCTAAACCCTAAACCCTAAACCCTAAACCCTAAACCCTGCGCACAATCTTCCGAGACTGAGGTAGACCTGGAGATGTCTGGCCACCGCAGTGCGAAGCCGGATGAATGTTCCTGCCTCAGAGATGTCGTACCTTGAAGGGGACCCCTAAGTTCTTATACGGGGGCTGCGGGGCTCATAAACCCTTTGCCGCAGGAGCCTGTTGGAACTGCGGGGCTTGGGTAACAAGGTCAGGTATTGCGGAGTTGCATTCACATGGCGGTGTTCTACCACTTCAGTACCACCATCTCTTGACAAACCTTCTACGGGGCCAGAGGGTGTATTTCGAGTTCATTCGAGTTTCAAGCTTTCGTTGCTTTGGGTGGTAATCCTTTTGTCTGCGGGGACCTTCGAGGAGCACGTCGTGTGGCGATTGCGATCGAAGCATGGTACTTAGGTCCGGCGTCTGCATGCGAATCATGCCGCCTCCGGAGGCCAAAGCCCGTTCTTGAAATCTCACGATCTGTGAGCCTAAAGGCCAACCCCTGAAGCCCTAAATCCTAAAAAATGCTAGGGAAATGCAGCAAATGCTTCGACGAAGGTCGACGAGACGAGCCTGTCGGGGTTCGCTAGGGTTCGACGGGATGTCGCTACAAATTGTTTGTCAAACTCCAAAGCCCCAGCCGGGGGCACGATCCTGATCGGTGCAACGATAACATCTGCACACACAGATATGTATATCTACATAGTTATTCT